CGCCATGGTTATTATAACTTAAAATTGCACAAGAACGGGAATGAAGGGTCCTCTGAACAAATAGGGGAGAATGATGGGGAAGGAATCTGATGTTTTAACAGGGTGGGGAGGAGGCTTTGAATGACCTCATTTATTTATGGTCAAATATCAAGAATGCGGAAATCAGATGACAGTGAGTTTATGTATGGCATCGGTTAGTTAATGGGACATTAGTTTTCAATTTTATGAGAACATTTTATATGACATGCCATATTTTAATTTTCTCATAAAACAAATAAAAAAGCACATAAGCATGTGTAGAGCAGAAAATGTTAATTAATTAAAGGGGACAGGTTCGAAGTTCAGAGGAAACAAGGTCGATCTCTTTTGGTCGCGCGGTGTCCTACATCTATGTATCGATAATGACCTCACGCTATTTTTTTATATTTTGTTTACTGCAGAAAGTGTTCTCATTTTAACTACGTATAAACAGTTGAAAACGCACGTTTCCAGGCGACACATATATTTCTGATTTGTAACACTGACCACTTTTTTTTTTTACCATACAAGTCTACTGTTTTTCCCGAGACCGTAAAAGCAACGTCAAAATTTTAGAATATTAAATTACAATTTAAATTTTATTTTATATGAAAACACTTTCCTAAGTGGTGGTTATAAAAAGTATATAACTTAGATACCGTGGTAATGGTGTGAGGTCATTTTATCAACGATTTATTACTCTTATATAAAGCGCACGTTCTTAAACGGGGAGCACGTGACGTTAACTTCCTACAAATCAATAATAATAAGTAATGGTTATGTTGTCGTATATGAATATTTGATATGAAAGATAGCCAAGTCGTTTCACTGACTTTATGATTTATGAGTATTTGATTATGTTAAATATCAACCGCATTTTTTATTTTATTTGAAATTTGTCTGTTCGCAAAACCATTCATATTTTCATTTGTTTCGAAACTTTACATTTCATGACATATTTCACTTAGAAATGCGCCTATTTCAGTTAATATGCGACGTAAAAGTCAGTTTAAAATGTATGAAAAAAAAACAGCTGCGAAGTGCCAGTAATAGGATGACCGAAACATTTCGTTAAAACATTTATAAGATCCTAAAATTGCGTATTTAAATGACCCGCATTTTCTGAAGATAGGAAATGTATTTAACATAATTAATAAATATAAAAAATATCATTAATCAGGGCATATAATACTTGTTTTTTTACCCAATCAATTATTAATGTTATGACACTGGCTGTTTTTTGTTGTTTTTTTTTGTTGTTAAGCGCAAAGCTACACAATGTGCTATTTGTGTTGTGCTCACCACAACATTGGCTGTTAAATAGTGACAGCATTTAAATACCAAAAATCATACAATATGATTTTTAGTAATACTTTAAAACAAAAATAAAATATTGTGAAACTAATGTGCCAGTACTTTTTATTACGTAACCACACATATAAGTAGTAACATAGATAATCTGTTTAACGAATGTTTCATCCTAGATTAGTATATGAATTACAGGACTTCAATTTAAAATGTTTTTATATGAATACTATTATGCCATAGTAGTTTAACTAAATATGTCTAGACGATTATACCTGTTTCATGAGAACTGAGAAAAAGGTTTCCTAATTATCCTTCAGCTGTAAAAGTTCGCTTTTCACACAATATTGCATAATTGAACTGCTACAAAACAATCTTTGGAAATCGTCCAGGTGTTTATTCGTTTTTTGCTTTATACTTAATCATTTGTAATTTCTGAATATTTCTAATTGTTATGAATATGAATATGAACCATGAATATGAATTTCATTTTCTGTACTTAATATTGTAAGATCCATGAACAAACATTGCAAATGATGCTTTAAATTCATGAGGAGGGTAATTAAATATAACCGAAAAAATAAGAACGATCTCTATATGTCTGAAAAGTTAATCATTTCATACTATGTCCTTAATTTTTTTAAAAGAAAAAGTTTTAAACATTGTAAAAATACAACGACAAAAACACTTAGTCTGTCTTCGGTTAGTGATACTTTAACTTGATACGAAACAGAAAAATAGAAAATAGTTTCCGGTTGGGACACACACTCTTGCCATAAAAGACAAGTCCTTGTTGCTCTAATTACAGCCTGACTTATTTTCAACACCCCCTCTTTCATTTAATCCGTCTTCACGATGACGATCTTGGCCCCTGCATCGATCAGGGTGAACTTTATATGTCAGGTCGAAACCACTTCTTAGAGTTGGACTATCCCACGGTACCTAAAACCTTTATGATACTCTGATTTTTTTTCCTGCATGCGCTAAGCAAGTCATGTTTTACGTTCACTCTATTTTATTAGTGGGGTGAGAAAAGTGAAAGTAAGAAAGAGTGTATACAACTGGAGTGGGATTTCTAAACATGACGGATGACCTATTTAAATACGTTTACATTTTCAAGGTTTGGTACCTTAGGAACTCTGAACGTGCAGCAAGAAAAACACTTTACTGTTCGAACATTAAAACATTACATGATGTAGCTTCTAAAGATAAAAACAAAGTGTAATCTGGTTTTTCTGTGAGTTTTATACCAAAACAATTAAAGCTTATCTAAGTTAACATAAATTTGCAAAGCACAAAAATGTGAGGTACATTTAATTCACAAAATTTGTAAGAAAAGTATCATTTAATTTAGTAAATTACACAATAAACTGAATTGAAATTTAAACAACAACAACACAATTAATATTGGGCACATAGTATATTTTTTATTATAAGTAATTGAATAAATTTAGCAACTCAAGTGTAGTTGAAAAAGGTTAAGTTGTCTTTTTGTTCAACAATTACTTTGAGACGCGACGTTTTGGTCAAATAACTGAACTTGTTAAAAGAGTATAAAGTAAATAAATACATGAAATATTTTTCAATGTAAAATAATATAAGAAATAACTATAACTGGCACTGAAATTTTTTCAAACATTTCTAGCTTAAAAAACGACAACAAAAGGATATACTGTTATTAATATTTATTTTTTCGTATTAACAAGTTTACAATATAATACGTTATTTTGTGATATATTGGCCGATTTCTTTCTGTTGTAATAATTAGTTTTCGTATTGGTCGATAGATGTAGTAGTCTGGGGTGTTCCTACGCTTCTGAAATATATTGTCTACCGGTTGGTCAACAATAAGTTCACAGATTTACAACGCCAAAATCCAGGGCTCAATTCCCCACAGTGAACAGAAAACAGATTGCTTATTGTGCTGATAAAAACGGAATATATTTATAACGTATAGCATCAAATCAGTTCAAGAGTACAATAACCAGCATAATAAAAGATCAGTTTGATTGTTGAAAATTTTGAAATTGTAGGACGTGAGTTTATTGACCCAGTGTTCAATGAGTTGACGAGACAGTTTCAGCTCCGTGTATAACTATTGTGCCGCAGTGAGGGCGAGCTTAGTTGAAAACAATATGTAAAATTACTTGCTTTTTATACCCGCGGAAATAGCATTTTAACAAATCGCATCAGACATAGGAAATATTGTTTGGTAAATAATTCACAAGAAAGTATTGTGTGGCTTAATCGTTAGGGCGCTCGCCTCGCAATCTGTGAGTCGTGGGTTCGAATCCCCTCACCGAACGTGTTCGCCCTTTCAGACATGGGAGCTTTATGAAGTGACGTTCAATCCCATTTTTCGTTGATAAAGAGTAACCCAAAAGTTGGTGATGGTGGTGTTCATAGCTGCTTTCCCTCTAGCCTGTCACTTCAAAATTTTGTGAAAAACATTCCAAAACGCCAAATATGTTGCAGAAACAAATGTAGAACGTTCAGAGTATAATAAATTATCAAGTTTTACTTCTCAGCAAGCCTGTTCTCTTAAACACATCGAACTGTTTTTAACGGTAAGTGTATAATTTATCATGCTATAACAACAGCAGAATAATAAAAAACAATTAATACAACTCCGGCAATTCACACTGATGAACATTTGCTTTTTAAACCCATTCAAGAACATTGTGAACGTCTTTTGTTAAAAAATAATATTTATCATAACTTAGTATATTTAAACGACAATATGTTCCTGTTCAAAGAAAAAATTAAAGAAATTAATTTGGCAAACAATGTTTTTAAATGTAAATATCTCATTTTTATGAAAAAAAAAACGATTATTAACAACAGGAGTTTGGTTGGTTTTATTTATTATTCAAAGTCTTGTCTTATGCCTGTATTAAGCGTACCTTGTCACGAACACAGGCAACAATGGTTTAGCCCCCCAGTGGCTCAGCGGCTAGTCTGAGGGCTCACACCGCTAAAAACAGGGTTTCGATACTTGTTGTAGGCACAGCACAGATAGCCCATCGTGTAGCTTTGCGCTTAACAACATACAATCTACTAATCCTAATCTACTAATTTAATTAATTGGAATGGTTGATATACTTTACTCATATTATTAAGTATATATGTTGTGGCATTTTCATGCTCTTTTTATATGTTTTCTTTACAGATATATAATATTCTGTCTCTTCAGAATTATAGTTTATACCTGTTATTTTCGCCTTTTATAGCTCTGAACATCTAGAAGCGAAATTACATTATTTTATCTTTTTAGTAGGTTTGTTCAAAGTCAACAGTAAAATAAAACTAAAAGTCAGAATTAATATGGTTCAGATTTGGATAAAGCTAAATGCTAAATAAAATTTGAAAATTTTTAAAGCATATACTTAATTTATTTCTTTGCTACAAAAATAATGATAATGTAGTATTTACTGGAAACAGAAAATGCCTAGACGATTATACTTTAGTATCATAAACATTAAAAATGTACTAAAATACATGCATACTGGATTAAATGCATTCAATCTTCTTAGAGGAAAGAACTGCTTTGTAAATATTAATTATAATTTTCATATAAGACAAAAAACTGATGAAGTCTAATGGAAAACAAACTATCGTGTTAAGATCATCATATACTTGTAAGTTATAATCTCCTTCTTCAAGAACATTTTACTTACCCTCTAATTTTTGGGACACCTCCTCCGTATCTCCCATTACCCCAAACTAGTATGGTGTCTAACCACAAGCTCAGTTGGACCACCACACTAAATACCGATGTTAACTTCATTTGCCTGTGAAACACTTAGCAGTCTTCGTAAATGAAAGACAGCCTCCGCACGCTGTCACACACAAAGTTCCTTACCTCGGATCAAGATGAACAAACACGAAGTTTCTGTTTCACGCCGAGGTTTCAACGAGCCATCAGATGAGACAAAACAATTACAGCAAGAGCTGTGTTCCTACCCACTAGTAAACAGTCAGAAACTGATGTTAGTGGGAGGTATGATTCAACGAAAAACCTCTATTTGTTGCTCAAAACGATGAAGACTGCCCTCTGTTGGTGGGTGATATCGATGTGTGCAAACGATGAACGACAAACAGAAAGCAGAACGAAACGTGTAATGTAAACCCAGTGACTTAGTTGTTTCTCCATATAAATGTTATAAACTTTCCGTATATTTGTTATAAGAAATAAATTACTATTTTTTCTCCTGTGTTTGTGATTGAAAACTTCCACACGTACTGTTCTACCCTGAATATAGATTAGATTTTTTATTCAATTTGCGTATAATGCAGAATAAAACGTTTAAAGCAGTACTTGAATTGTAATTAATAAGCAAGAGGAAATCCTTAGGTATAATGAAAGAAGTGTGCACTATACTCATATTCTCATATATATACACACACATACATACTGTAAATTTAAATACATCCTTGACCAGTCACTAATTAGATCGAAATTAACATTTAACAATAACTTTACTTAAAACAAGTATCAAGTGAATATTGAAAAAACAAAGACAATTCTATCAATGGCTGATGGAGATAATATTCATCACAGGCGAAACCAGTAAGCTGGTTGTTTGATTCTGGGGGTTTATTGGCGCAAAGCAACGTGGCTATCTGGGCCAAACAACCGATATCAAAATAAAACAAAAATTGAATCTCTATACAAAGTAAAACGAAATCAAGTTACAAGCTAAACAATGTCCAAAAACCAGGAAGTAAAGCTCAAATAGATTTAAAAAGTTTAATGGCCCGTAAAAAGCTAAAAACACTATCAAACTGGACAGTGTCACTGTCTTCAATAACACCGTCCAACGTCAGGGGTAAACCCTTTGAAAAGACATGTCTAAAATGGTGCCACCGCTCACATTCGTTACGACGATACGAAAATAAAACGTGGGCAATTGTGATCTGAGTGTCACAAGGGGCACACATTGGCGGATCAGTATCACATAAAAAAAACGATGAGTTAAAAATTGTGACCAATGCATAGCCTAGCCAATACAACTTCCTTCCGCTGATCCTTACGGAAACTAGATGGCCAAAGAACAACCGTAAGTTTGATCTGGAAAAACTTGTTATGAAATGGGTCACCCCAAATTGACTGCCAACTGACTCAAAGCCGTGCTTTGATCACAGAACCAAAGTCCATATATGGGACAGGCATGGCTGTAACAGTGCCAGAGCAGACGGACTTAGCTATGATGTCTGCAAGCTCGTTCTCGCGAATACCAACAGGTATCCAGAAAAACTGTATAGACACATATGACAGAGAACAACGGGCCAGTCGCTTCTGAATGTCCAAGAGAACAGTGTGAAAACTTGCTTTAAGCGATTCTAAGGCCAGTAGAGAACTAAGAGTTTTGTTTGTTTGAAATTAAGCACAAAGCTACACAATAAGCTTTCTGTGCTCTGGTCACCACAAGTATCGAAACTAGCATTGTAAATCCACAGACATACCACTGTGCCACTGGTGGGCAGAGCTAAGAAAGTCAGTGTAAATAGTACAGTTAATGTATTATTTAGCTTCTGTGTGATCCAAGGCAAGAGAAATGGCATAGAACTCAACAGTGAACACAGAAACTGTAGAGGGGATCCTGTGAACAACCACTGAGCCACAATAAAACCTTGGCAGTGCCCACAGAGTTACCTGATTTCGAACCATTCATTGAAACGGGAACAGTAGAATGTTTTGAAATATGTTCAACAAAAAGAAGACGATATTTCCAAGCAGGAGTATCCACCTTCCTCAGATGACTCAAATAAAGGTCACAGGTGGGAGTAGTAATGAAACATGAAGGAATGGTCTGGTCATCATATTCAGCAACATCATCCAATTACAGACCCAATTTAGCCAACTGTGCCTGGCTATGAAGGCCAAATAGAAGAATAGCTGACTGCGAATTCTGAAAGAGCAAAGCCCACTGAGGAAGGAAGACTCTATCCCAAGTGGGATGGTGTGGTAAGGATCGAAGCTTGGTAGTGGAACTCGGTGTACAAATTATGGAGTGGCAAAGGGCGAAAAGCCCCGTGCAGAGCCAAAGCCCCAGATGATGTACAGGGCCCAATATCTTCAATGCAGAGGCCCTGGTAGATCCATAAGCCATAGACCCGTAGTCCAGCTTGTAACTTATGAGGGCACGATAGAGCTTCAACATAGAACATCAATCTGCACCCCAAGAAGTGGAAGAAAGGACACGGAGGATGTTCAGTGCATGTATACACTTGACACATAACTGCTTAATGTGAGGAATAAAAGTCAGCTTGCAGTGAAACAGAAGCCCCAAGAACTTCGTCTCAGGAACCACAGGAAGAACAACACCACTGAGACAGAGATCAGTATCAAGGTGTAAACCTCGTTGGCGGCAAAATGAATAAAACGGTTTTAGAGGAAGGGAAGAGGAAACTGTTTGCTGTGGTTCACTTCAATAAGCAAGTCAGAGCAGTCTGAAGCTACTGCTCAATAAACCTCATGTTCAATGACCAACAATAAATGTGGGAGTCGTCGATATAGAGGTTGTTTATAACAGTAGGAGGAAGAAGTTGAGTGATAGCATTAATCTTAATACTGAAAAGTGTGACACTCAAGATACAGTGCTGAGGGAATCCAAGTTCCTGTGTGAAGGATCAGAACAGGGTCGAACCCATACCGAATTGAAAACTTTGGTTGAGCAAAATGTTACAAATAAAAATGGCTAAATGGTTATGCAACCCACATGAATGAAGGTCCCACAAAATACTAAACTACCATAAGCTTTCTCAAGATCAAAGAAAACAAAAACAAGATGCTCACTCTTGAGGAAGGCTTCCCTGTTCAAAGTTTCGAGACGAATCAGGTGGTCCGCAGTGGAGTGATGTCTATGAAAACCACATTGAATTAGGCGAGAGGAGGTTGTTTGATTAAAGGAACCAAACAAGATGAGCATTAACCAGCTGGTTAATAAGATATCCAAGGTCTGATTGATCATAAGTCTCTCCTGAATACAGGTGAAGAGAACATGCAATTATGGTACAACCCACAGAGATATGGATAGCCACAGCCTCCAAGGGTATACTGAGTGGCACAGACATGGTGGGTACATGCTGGTCAACCAGTAGGGAATTCATCCATCACATGACCTGTCATTTCGGTATAAAGAAAACTGCCGAAAGGTGACAGTATCAACAGGTTTCAGGAATGTTTCCTGTAAGGAGAGACACATGGGATGATAAGAATTGATCAAGACCTTAATGCCATCCAAATTAGCACGGAAACCTCGACAGTTCTACTATATAAAAATGGACACTTTTTTGTAGGTAGTGTAGAAGTGAATGGATAATCCTTCTGTTTGCAACCACGACGTTTTTCTTTAGTAGAAAGAGATCTGTCGACTTCCATGCAACCTGCCCTGGGACGACTAGGCCGAATTTATAGGAAGAAGGAGACTTCAGTGGCTAAGGGTGTGACCAAATAATGGTTCTACACCTCAAGGCCGAAGGAGATGGACACGAGCAGTGGATACAATAGTGGGGACAGAGACAGGAGTAGATGTGAACTTGTTAACTCTTCGAACCATGATGGGCAAAAGACTCTTAACATGATGAGAGAAAGATTCTGTTGGAGGCATGAAAAGATCTGTCTGCACTTCTACTATAGCAATGGAATGTGTTTCAGCAGATGAAGCAGGGGACAATAACTTTCAAGCCTCTGGATAAGAAATGTTGTTTAAGCGCTGTACCTCGTTTTCCTCCACCCACTTAGGGCAAGATCGAAAGTACGATTGACACTCGTAGGCGTCATGGTCTTTGACACCACAACGAGAACATGCCAAAGGACCACGACAAGATGCTTTAGATTGTCCAAACCAATGACACTGGAAACACCAGAGACGGTTAGGAATATAAGGCCGTAAGTTACAGTTCAGATAACCTGTCTTAAGAGTGGCAATTCAGTTGTACACACACATACTTCCATTGAGACTAAATCAGTCAGTGAAGTCTCACTCTCGACTTAACCCAGCTAATACAATAATATAATACTGCAATTGGAATAGTATTATTCAGCCTGCGATGGTCTGGTTGTTAGGGCACTAGACACGAAATCAGTGGGTTGCGGATTAAAATCTTCGTCACCAAACATACTCAACCTTCTTGCCGTTGGGGCGTTATAATGTGACAGTCAATTCCATTATTCGTTGGTAAAAGAGTAGCCCAAGAGTTGGTGGTGGGTTGTGTTGACTAGTTGCCTTCTCTCTTATTTATCATTGCTAAATTAGAAACGGATAGCGCAGATAGCCTTCGAGTAGCTTTTCGCGAAATTCAAAACAAACCAAACCAAATTCACTCTCGAAATCGTTATCCATTCACATGAATTTGCTAACAATGAAGAAAGGACAAAATTGATATTTACTGTAACAATGGAAATGGTGTTTCCCTTTCCTTCAAGAATTGAGTTTTAAAAGGCAATAAAATTCGAACAACACCGAATTACAACCATTTATATAATCTAAAATGTACATACTAAGGGTGTTTAAACTTAAAACATTTTAAACCAGAATAATGTTATTAAATTTATAACAATCATAAAATTTCAAAGATCTAACTTCGTCAGAATTAATGAACTGAATACCCAAAGTAAATTAACTGGAACAAAAGAAGAGAAACTGGTAATTTGAAGGCATTAATAAGATGTAAAAAGTTTTGGATTAAAATACTAAATGAATTAATTGTTCATCTCAACATAGAGTTTTTGGCCTTAAACAAACCAGTATTAAACTGAACAAATAATTAATATGCATCTATACAGGTTTTCTTTAAACAAGTATAAATTAGTTTACAACTAGTTTAAGGACTCCAAAGGTACGAATGTAACTTGGGATAAAATATTATCCAAAAACTTAAACTGGTGCTTAAGAACTGAATAATGCCAAAGTATTCAATTTATCAAGATCTATGAATCTAGCTGATATCATTGAAGTAATATTGAAAAATCC